AGAAACTCGTTAAGGAGGGAGGCTTGGTTTAAGATCTATTAGAGAGATGAATTGTGCTCTCCAAGGGAAGTGGTTATGGAGGTCTCTTTTCGAGGAGGAGAAGTTGTGGAGGAAGATGGTGCAGGCGAGATGGGGCAACTAGGTCTCCTTTCATACGTGCCACAATTTTTGAATAAAACTTATATTAAAGTCACTTGGACCAGGGACTATCCTTTCTACATAACACGAGTCCCTAAAATTTTTTTTCTTCAGTAAACTCTCTTTCAAGCGAGACACGATTCAACTCATCTAAGTATTTGAAAGTGATTCCATCGGACTTGGGCCTCCACCCAAACTCCTTGTCATATAATCTACAGAAAAACTTCCTAACCGCTTGCCTCAACTATTCGTTATCCTTAACAATCCAGTCATCAATCTCTATTTCCTCCACATAGTTAATCTCTCTCTGATGATTTGTCATACTATGAAAGAATTTTGTGTTTCTATCCTCCTCTTTAATCCACCTGGCTCGACTTTTATTTCCATAAAATCTCCTCCATTTGTAGTTTATTTGTCAATTCAGTCTTTAAAGATCCTTGCAAGCTAACTCTTCAATAGACAAAACGTTCTCGTCCTCCATCCTACAAATTGTCTCAATATCTTGGAACAAAGATTGGATGTACATATATTTCAAGAAAAAAAAAATTGTGTGTGCATACCTTCACTCCTCATATCATCCTTACTCCACTTTTTGATTTTGGTTTTCACTACTATTATCTTTTGAACAACGATAAAATTGACTCTACTATTCACCATTGTCACTGGCTACCATTCACTGATCTTATCACATAAACCATTAGCCTTCAGCCATTTGTCTTCAAATTTGAAAGGAAAGGGCACCACTTGATCCTATTTTGACAAGGCAAGTAGGAAAGTGATTAGATATGGTCTGTTGCAGAAGCTTTTGGCTTATAATGATTGCTTGAAATTGGCAGAAAACCGAAACCAATAACCTATTAATTCTTCAACATGCCAGATTGAGTCTCTGATTGGACCAGGTTTATTTACCTCTCATGAGAGGTAAATCTATTAAATCAAGTCTGTTAAGAGTCTTCTTTAATTCTTCAGTACAAATTCTCGAGATGTGTTCACCAGATCTTTTAGTTCTGTTCAAAATTGTGTTGAAGTCTCCATCCAGTATTCATGAAAGTACTACTTTTGTTTGCATTCCTTTAGGTCCCTCCACAACAAGCCTCTCTCTTTCTTCACATCTGCTATAAATACCAGTGAACATCTATTTCCACTAATTTCTGCGATCTTCAAACATGTATAAGATGGAAAACTTCTCCCATCAAAATCTCCTTGCATTTAATAGATCCCTCCTTTCATAAGACTAAAATCCTTCTAGATGCTCCTCTTGCTGGTAGGTCTTTCCAACCTATCTTCATAGTCTTCCAAAGGCTCCAAGCAATCTGATCATAAATGGATTCCATTTTGGATTCCTACAAGTAAATCACATCTGATTTCCATCTACCCATGCAGCTCCTAATTATTTGTCTTTTCTTATGGTCATCTATTTCTCTACATTTCAAGAAATGATATGACCAAATATGATTAAGATTTTCCCTATCTCCCCCCTCCCTTCTTGTCTCATTTACTTAAATTATCATAGTTAATACTAGACTGTAGTCTTCTTAATTCTCTGGAACCCTCTACCCCTGTTTATTTTTTGTTTTTTTCTTTTAGCCTCTCTTCTCTCACCTTCTCCTTCCTTCTTTTCTCTATCTTCTTGAATACTTACATAGCTTGTTCCTCTAAACCATCAAAAGAGACTCCTAGCATGCTACTGATCCGCTGAATATTTTGGAGTATCTATCTTGAATTTCTCTTTTTCAATCGGGTTCCCAGTTCTCTCCCCCTGCATCTCCTCCACCATCAACACCCTCCTCTGCACCTCCTCTATATCTTCCCTCTTAGGAGTAACTAACACCGCTCCATTCTCCCTCAGAAACACCGCCAGGACTCTGGAGGGATCTGTCACGGTGATCTTGGCCTCGTTGCGGCCCTCCACAGAAATGATATTTTCTCTCCCCTCACTGCAGCCTGAAACTTGCTCCTCCTGATCCAGTCAGTCAAACCCCCCTTCTCTGTTGTTCTCTCCGCCATTGGATTCCATAATTGTGTTCCTTCTGCTGCTGATCGATCCAAACCCTCATCTCCCCCACACCCAGTTGTGGGTTTTTGCTATTTTCTCTGGGTTATAGATCCAAATTTTTAACTCATGACCCATCTTTTTAACCCATCTCCCAGGCTCAGTTCGAATGACCCATTTTGCTTTCTCATCTGTGAAAAACGTTTAACCGATGATCATCTTCCTTCATTAACTGGGTCCTCCTCGTTGAGGCCCAATTCGTTTCACATTTTGACCAGAATGACTTTTGCTTTATGCATTTTGGTCTTCATCGAAACAACGATCTTCCTCCACGTTTTGGGCATTAAAATTTTGAAATTTTGAAATACACCCGACCTGTCTTGGAAATGGGTCTTGTCTTCCCTACCCGCTGCCCCGATCTTCCCTTTGCTGCTTCGATGAAGCTCATATCTTCTTTTGCTTTCAGACTCATTTTCAACTCTGTTTGGCGGTTAGGACAACAAAGAAAAATTGGCGAAACTTCTTGACATTTTTCCGGGTTCAGCGCTAGCTTCTTCACGACAGAGCCGCTCTGGACTTCTCCGTCTATGCACTTTTTCCTTGCTATCTCAAACAGCACTACCATTATTCTCCGCCAATATCTTTGTATTCACTTTTTGGAATAGATTTAGTTGCTCAGTAATACTTTCTGAGTTTCTCAATTTTTTGATTTTGTGATTCAGTAAAAAATTTTGTGTGATGCTTCAGACATTTTTGATGTAATGTCTAAGAAATTCTAGGTGTAATATCTAGATTCTATCCCCAAAACTCCATGTAGACAAATAAACTCTACTTGTACTACCAATCCACCTTAGTCTCCCTTTAGTCTTGCTTGGCTCCTGTATCCCTTGTTCTTAACTTTTATTTCCTGTTTTCCTTTCTATTATCACCCTTCTTTATGCTATTTTCTAAACTATCTTACATTAACTGCGATCAAAGTGAGGTTGTCCTAAATCACTTTTAGAAGTGAGAACTTCTTCGGGACCTTACCTCTTGTAACCTTTTTTTCCCCCTGAAAGTGAAAATTTGCATTTTTCAAAAATGAAAAACTAGAAAAAGGCAATAAATATATCTTGAAATTGAGCTTTTTTCTTTTGCTTTCACAACAGTGTTGGGGTCCGTGATGATAGAGAAAAACTGATGATCCAAATATATAAAACTAGATTGGTGGCCATTTTTAAGAAAAGTAAATTGCATTCTCATGGAAAAGATGACCCATTAAGCTCTCTTGGGGGAGTTATAACTTGAGAGCTCCAACTTTCTAAATGTTGAATTATGTTACCATAGGCTCCAAATTTTTGGATGCTAAGATTATGTTATCCATTCATGAGATATTGGTCTAATGGTTTTTGATCAGGACGCAAAATATGAGGCCTCCAGTTCAATGACTTAGAAACTAATGACAAGAACTTGAGATTTTGGATAACCTATCACTTCCTAAACTGATTTTCCGCTAATAGGATTATTTACATCCTAACATTTTGGTGGGGTTGTAACAATGAATTTGCTTGAAGAGTAGTGGTTGTGACTCAAGATAGAATATTTTCAGAGGTGAGGTACTCCAATGGTTACTCAATTACTTTACCCTGCTAGTTACTTGAATCAGATAGCCTATAAGATTAAGTTGGATAACCATGCTAGTCATCCAAATCCCTCATTTTGTTTATAAACAATTACACTACTGTTTCAAGAATCTGTTGCATGAATCTGAGGCTGTCTCTAGGACTGAACCTTTCCCAATAAACAGCCAAATGGAATTTCAACCGTCCATAGTAATGGCTGGGAGCAAGGTTGCAGGTTTAGTGCTTGCCTAGCATGATGCAGACATATTAGCTAAATTCCATGCACATGTTACAGAGATACCCATGTGCTTTTTGATCTTGGCCTGAAAGCAAAGTGAAGTACTAACTTTCTCTTTTCCCAAAGAAAAGCCAAATGAAAGTATCGTGGAGTTGTTGACTAATCAATATCATGCTGGCAAAAGACTAGAATGTTTTATTTATTAAAGTTGATGCACTTCCAAACTCTAGCATTCCCACTTCTAAAGCTAATCTTGTCATTCATCAAGTTATAGAAGTTGGTGTTTTTTGGTTTAACAGATGCACAGGATGCAATGATTGCAGTTTTAGTAGTTAGTTATTAAGTTTTCAGAAGATTGGTTAGAATTTCCCTTTAGGTTTTGATCTAATTATCGGCATCCTGATTCTGAAACATAACTCTCCTCTCCCTTTAAATATTTTAGGAAAGTAGTGCTTAACCTTTTTCTTCTTTTGTAAATGTGCAATGATATTGTTATAAAGTTACTTTTTACTTTCAGGTAAAGAATGCTCATTGTCTTTCTCATTCAAAAAAACTGCTCCTTGTCTTGTAATATGTATAGAATTATAGAGATTTTCCCAAGTGACAGTTCCATGTTGTTGCTCCTTTCAAGTAGTGCTGGCCTAAATCTGTGTTTTCTTTGTTCAGATTGCAGGATATGTGTATGGAATGCTGTTGACGGTAGCTTAGTGCATTCTTTGACTGGTCACACTGCATCAGTAAGTGGATTTCTCAACTTTGACCTCTTTCATTAAAAGATTTGATGATGAGGGCACTGGCCCACCTCCTTCCCTCTCTCTGTCTCTGTGTCTGTCTCTGTCTGTCTCTGTCTGTCTCTCCTTCCCTCCCTCCCCCCATCTCTTTCTCTGTCTCTCTCTCTCTCTCTCTCTCTCTCTCTCTCTCTCTCTCTATGTTGGCATCTCAACTTTGATCCCTGTTACTAAAAGATTTGATGAGTCCCTCTCCTCCCTTTCTCCTTCCCATCCCTCCCTGCCTCCCCTCTAACTTGACATCTCAATTTTGATCTCTATTATTGAAAGATCTGATGAAGTTGACCTCTTTCATTTAAAAGATTTGATGATTGGATGATTACCTATCCATTTTCTTTTTCCTGTCTCTTGCTGTATTGATGCTGAAGAAGATCTTAAACTGGAATGAAATTAATTTCTATCTTTATCTCTCTTTGTTTTTGAGGCAGAATAAGCTTAAAATAGAGTATCTTTAGACTATGTTTGGTATGTTGTGTATGGGTAGGTTATGGTATCTAAGACCCCTTACTCTACTCTATCAAATGTTTGGCTGGTAATTTTTTTTGGTATAGGGCAACACATTGTCTATCCTGCAGTTGTTAGTGTTACTCATGCCAAACGAGGTGAATAAGCACTATTCACTCTCTATATAGTGCTCTAAAAAGTCTTAATTGCTTATTCTATTTTTGGAAATTTGTAATTAAATTTTATGTTTACTGAATTTTTATTCATGATACTTAATTTAGAACAGCGGAATATATATAGGAAAGATTAGAGAGACTTTTAATAGGAAACTAGATATAAATATTAGTTCTATAAAGAATATTTCTAATTATCAAGGGTGACTATAATTTTGCTTTATATGGGGATTTTTCTTAAAATACGAATATATATATGAATTGAACTTCTACAAGAAGTTGGATTTCTACGCTCCCCCTCAAGTTGGTTTGAAGATATTGAGTAAATCAAGCTTGGATCTCCATTCTTTGAATGTCTTCCTACGTATAGCTTGATTAAAATATCTGCAGTTTGATAGCAAAACTGAGTGTACCACAAAGATAGCACTTCTGGCTCTAGCTTCAATTTAATAAAGTGCCTAATCTCCAGATACTTAGTTCGATCATGATGAATTGAGTTCTTTGTTATGTTTATTATGGATTGATTGTCACATAATATTTTCATAGGTTCTAAAGAAGAAATTCTCAATTCACCTAATACCCTCTGTAGCCACATTCCTTCATAGATATCATGTGCTAAAGCTCTAAACTCAGCCTTAGCACTACTTCTTGATACCACGGACTGCTTCTTGCTTTTTCAAGTAATTAGAGTTTTTCCAAATGTACGTGCAGTATGTAGATGTGGATCTTCTATCAGTTATAGAACCAACCAAGTTTATATCAATACATATTTCAATTTCTTGACTTATGTTTTTCTTGAAAAACAATCTTTATTCAAATTCATTTTTAAATACTTGAGAATCCCAAATACTATCTCTATATATTCTTTAATTATGTGATTATGAATTGACTTAGCACACTGACGATAAAACTGATATCTGGTGTAGTTACATAACTTTACTATCTAGAATGCCCTTTATATGTTTTTGCTAGCCTAAAAGCCATAACACAACTCATGGAGAAACATCATTTTGAGGATTTACCACCCGAGTTGTGCTAAAATTTTTTACAAAATTATAATTATTATTGGTACTTAATATCTTTAGTCTATCTATCTACATATTTTTATTATTTAAGATCTTTAATTTATTAAGACCTTGACAAAACTGTGTCCCTCAACAATGCTAACAAAGCTTTCTAAGTATTCTCAACTAGTATCATTACTTTTTTTTTTTCTAAAGGTTGGACAAGGGTGGGATAAGAAAAGAGTTAACTCTTAAGTACATTGATTATTATTATTATTATTTCCAAAGGCACAAACAGAGTTAATGGTGAGTATCTTTATATATTTATAAGGAGCTTGTTTTCCTCATAAGTTAGGATCGAGTTAAAATGATATTATTGTATTTTAGAAATTTTATTGACAAGGGACAAGGGTGCTGCCTTCATAAAAAAGCATTAGCTTCCTGTAGATGTCAAGTTGATTAATAAGTTGAATGATTATGAGGCTGATAACAAGACTAATCTTCTTGCGTGTTCCTTGACAATTCATGGTCAATGATTATGCCCAGCTAGTGTGGTGACTGGTGTTTGAACAGAAAAGGGACTTTTTGTAGTAGATGATATAGCGTTTTCACATCTAGAAATCTGCTGCTTTAGGATTCCCATTGGAGGAAACATTGAACTGGAATTTTTTTAATTTTTGTTTTTTCTTCGCAGTCATATGTCCTGGATGTTCATCCTTTCAATCCCCGAATAGCCATGAGTGCCGGTTATGATGGAAAACATAATCTGGGATGTAAGTTCCTGCTTCTTAAAGTACTTCAT